CACTCTACCCTCCTCCGCTCTCCCCCCCACTCCCCTCCCTACCTTCTCAGATTTGTTTCTCAGGAGCAAAACTCCAATTCCTAAGGGAGTCCAGGGTAATGCTTTCTCTTTCTGCTGTCACTGAAGGAAAGACCCCCACCCCCGCCCCGCCCAGCTCCTCAAAATTATTTTCTAGGTGCAGTTGCGGAGAAAGGTAACGAGGAGCAGAAAAGACAGTGGAAGACTTCAGAACTGACAGTAAGCCTTCAGACACGTCTGCATTTACTTAGACCCCTCAGAGGGGGGAAGCCTGAGAGGCAGGATAGAGGGAAGTTAGGCACAGCCTTGCGTTTGAGATTTCCTGGTTGGATCCAATCCCAAGCCTGCTGCAGGTCGCAGGAGGCAGGCACTTTATCCTCTGAGTACCAGTTTCTTTGCCTATAAAATGACGTTGGAAATACATCCAATCGTCAACTCTGAAATTCAACCTCTGAACACAGGTGTGTTTTTTAAATCTAGGTTTGGCAAAAACACTTTGGGCAATCAAACCTGACCTGACCTGAAGAGAAGTCATCTTCTTACTCCTGTGTCTGTCTATACATCTTTCTGTAGGAATATTGAAAGGGATTCATACTATATGGCACGTGCTCTTTAATGGCTTTGTAAAATCTGGAAAATGCTGAATTGCAGAAATATGAGGGGCCTTGTGGGTTTGGGATCAGGTTATCCACGTCAGAGGGTATTTGGGATCCTACATGGGATAATTATGGGGGGATAATAGGACCCGGGACAGGAATGATCACTCAGTAGATGTTGGCTGCCTTTACCATCTTACTGTGTTGTGGAATGAGTGCTTACATATACAGTAGCCCCCCCCCCCTTAATCTGCAATTTTGTTTTCTGCAGTTTCAGTTATCCACAGTCAACTGGGATCTGAAAATATTAAATGGAAAAGTACAAAAAAAAATGCATAGGTTTATAAATTATTTGCCGTTCTCAGGAGCAATGACATCTCAGGTGTCCTGCTCAGTCCCATCAATGACTTGAATCATCCCTTTGTCCTACATCCCCACGCTGTATAAGTTCCCGCCCTTAGTCACTTCTGGTGGCCACAACACAGTGCTGTATTCAAGTAACCCTTATTTTAATTACTAATGGCCCCAAAGTGCAATAGTGATGCTGGCAATTCAAATATACCTCAGAGAAGCTGTAAACTGCTTCTTTTAAGTGAAAAGATGAGTAGAGTACAATAAGGTATTTTGAAAGAGCGAGACCACATTTACATAACTTTTACTACAGTACGTTGTTATGATTGCTCTATTAGTTATTGTTAATCTCTTACTGAGCCGAATTTATAAATTAAACTTCATCATAGGTATGTATGTATAGGAGAAAACAGTATACACAGGGTTTGGTACTAACCTCGATTTCAGGCTTCCCTGGCAGTGGGTAAGGGAGGATTACTGTACATCTACTCCAAGAATAGCTACAAAACTTGATGTTAGGAAGTACCTAGGACTATGCACTTTACAATCATTTTGTTTTGTATGTTGTTTATATCTATTTTGAGTGTTGACTTGTTTCCTATTTTTTTTAGATGCCTTCTAGATGTCCTCTAACTCCATTTTTTATCTGAAGAAAAATTGTATTTTCTTTCTTCTTCCCCTACTTTCTTCCCTCTTTTCCTCTCCATCCCCAAGCACTTACACGTTCTTATCCCTGTATCACAGGGAACTAGAGAGCTGATTACTGGCAAACGGTTGCACCTTTCTCTGAGTGTGGTGATTAATGGCCAAAAGATGCTAAATGTGAAACAGTAATTTGGTAAAGCTCTCGGGAGCCTAGTGCTAAGAACTTCTCAAAGGGGACAACTTAGTGAGAAAAAATGGAAAATAAACACACACAGTGTAAGACTTAGGCTGCATATATAAGGTGATGTGGGGGCGGAGTGGTATTTTGTTTGGTGTTTTCTCCATTGTAAGGCCTTATTACCTGAGATAAGTAAAATTGTCTTCCTGCACATAAACTTAGGAGGTTGAATATCCAAAAGAATACATGGGTCTAGGCTAGAAGAATTTGAGTGACTGAAATGAAGAATTAAAAACCAATGTTGCATGATGATAAGATCATCAAAATATTCTTCTGTTGTAAGAAATCTTGGTGCTTAGTAAAAAACAAAAGCAAAAGCAAAACAACTGGTAGAAAGTTGTGGGTTCATTTTGCCTGACTGTGCCAGTTTCCCAAATTGACTGAATGAGGCGATTTTCTGAGTACGTACTACATGAAATATTTTAAGTTGTAAGAAGTATTTTTTTATTTTGATTTTGTTGTGTTTTGTTTTGCTGTTAAGATTTTGGCTTCACAGAACCTCATCGAAGAGTTGAAATCTTGTTGTCTTGATTTAAAAGACCATGATAGTAAACTAAATAAATCACTCTAAGTGAAAAGGAGATGCCAACAGGACATGGAGAACCCAAAGTTTTAATAACATTTTATGTTTACTTTGTAAACTCAGCTAAGATTCATTTCTTGCTGACAGTTGTTTTAGAAGCCAAAGAAATAAATTTGTCTTGGGCACAATTGTTATGAATTTTATTTTTACAGAATCTGTATTTTTCCTCTTTAGTTGTCATGGCTTTCTGGGTTCTGTGTAGTGCACCCACATTCCCCAATCATATTGTCTCCAGACAGAAATAAAGAGTTTGTAGAAAATTAAAACACCGTTGGCATTAGGAAAAAAGAAGGAAATCACAAAATCTCTCATTTTTTTCTTGCCCTTCTCTAAGGGCGCGCACAGCCCATGGAATCCACTTGAGAGTAAATCAGTAATTGCCATCGCAAGCTTTGCATTCATTCGGTCTCCAGGTAAGGCACCACAGCAGGCATCCTCTGATCTTCCCCTCAAACAAAATAAAATTTAATCTTTTTGTTTCTTAAATCTCTTTCTGCATTTCTGAATCATTTGTTTATTAAAATGTTTTTATTAAGTGATTGTTTTTATTTTTATCTTAATTCAAAGGTAAATCTAGCTCCAGGTACCCTCCCTCTTCTGCCCTAAAAACACCTGCATGATAACTTTCTAAAGAATAAGGAGAAAATGGTTCATTCTGTGGTGATGTGTTCATTAGAAAAAGAAGTTAGGATCTGGAAAGATACTATATATATGGAAGGATTTGGAAGCTCTCTTGGGTTGTTTAAACTTTGTCTTAAGCTGCTGTTGTGTCCATTTTAGCCAATCCAGGCACATTTTGCCTAAATCTCTGTCCCTTTTCTTTCTTTTAAACTATGTATTCATTATCTTATTCTTTGAGTATCAACTGATGCTCAGCTCTAATGAGAATTCAAAGGTCATGAAGACAGAGTCATAACCACTAGAAGTATATAATTTAATGCACAAGAGCTTTGCAAAATGTATCAATAAGACAATATTTTGTGTCCTGATAAAGGTACAGAGTTAAATGCTTAATTTAGGGAAAGCTTCATAAGAACAGTGGCATTTAAGTGAACTGTGATGGGTTGAGGGATGCCAATAGTGAAAAAGGAATGATGTCAAGATTGTAGAGCTGACCATCAGTGAATAAAGTATTCCAGTGTACCTAAACCTCAGGATATGTCTATAAAATAAGACCTTGTAATAAAAAAATAAAAATAAATAAAATAAAAATCACAGCCTAGCGAGGGAAATATAAATAAAAGAGTGGATAAGTACATTTTGCATTTTGAGTTATGCACAAAAGTCATTGGAACATGGAAGAAACCTTAGCTGTGGTGGTGGTTGGGGTTTGATTATAAAGCTTCATTGGGGTCTGACTCTTGAAATAGTATTTTGCCCATGGAAATATGAGTTCCCCTTATCCTTCTGACTTGTCATACACACACACACACACAACTTCTCTGGGACTTTCTAAAGAAATTTTATGTCATGATTCTCCGTTCTCTAAATCGAAGTGTAACGATTCCAACTTCTCTTTTTCTTTATCACCAATTTCTCTTCATTTTTCCTCTTATTATTCTTACTGGTATGTATCACTTTTCTTTCCTCAGTAAAGCTACATTCACTTCTTTCTCAACTTGGACCTTGTAGGAAGCACCAGTGCGGTTTTACATTTCGGAGAACACCCCCAGGCCATCTTCCCCAGCATCCCACTGGTGTCATTAAGCACAACCAACCCTACTTGTTATGAAAGCATGGCCAGACCCTTGCTTTCTGTACTATACTAGAGTAACACAGGGCCCTAGGAGATGGTGTTTCAAATTGAAGTCAGATTGCTCAATTCTGACACTTCCTAAATATTTAATCTCAAATTACTCAATCCTTCTGTGCCTTAATTTCCTCCCTTATAACATGGAAATATAGTACTTACCTCACATGATCATTATGAGAATTAAATGAGATAATCCATGCAGAGAATTTAGTGCTGTGGTTAGGATGTAGTCACATTTTAATAAATATTAGCTATTATTGTAAAATTCTTAGCCAGTCATTTAGTACTTTCTTGCTTACTATGCCTCATGATTACAGCCTACGATGGTTACTTTTATGTGTCAAAAATTAACGAATTTAAACTGGACCACGGGATGCCCAGATATCTGGTTAAACATTATTTCTGGGTATGACCATGAGGGTGATTCTGGAGGAGATTAGCATTTGAATAAATGAACTGAATAACACAGAGGGCCTCTTCCAATGTGGGTGGGCACCATCCAATCCATTGAGGACCTAACCTAGAACAAAAAGGCTGAGGAAATTTGGATTCTTGTTCTGCTAACTGTTAGAGCTGAGACATCAATCTCTCCTGCTCTCGGCACTCCTGGTTCTCAGGCCTTCAGTCTTGGACTGGAATCTATACCAGGGCCTCCCTGGCTCTCAGGTCCTCCAGCTACACTATGGCTTTCTTGAATCTCCAGCTTGTAGAGACGTGATCATGGGACTTCTCAGCCTCCATGATGGCATGAGCCAATTCCTCCTAGTAAATGTCTTTGTAATATATCCTATTGGTTCTCTTTTTCTGGAGAACTCTGGTGAGTGCACAACCTTTCTAATCAAAGTGTGGTTTGTAGTCAGCAGCATCGGCACCATCTGAAAGCTGACTAAGGTTCAGATTCTCAGGCCATATAAGCTGCTGCAATTTTAACAAGATCTCTGAGTGATTCAAATACACATTAGAGCGTTCCATTCCCTTATTCCTCATGAAGACATGTTCATATCAATGGTTTATCAACTGGGGAACAGCCACCTACCTCCTTGTTCCATAGACTTTGAGGGAGATCTGCCAGTTAACTATGACAATTTCAGCAAAGACACAGAGTTAATATAGATCTAGCCCCATTTCTAATGGTGCAGTTATTGGGAAATATGTGCTAGGGTTTTTCAGAGAAATGAGAACTGGAAAAATGGATCCCTACACTGCAGAGAAATAGGGGAGCTGGAGGGGGAGGGGAAGAGACCTAACCAGGGGCAGTATTCTTTAACCTGTTTTTACAAAACGTTAAGAAAGTCAAGGGAAACATGAGACAGGAGTGTCTGAGAATCAAACACCTACTGAGAAAAGTTGACTAAACAGAGGTAAGAAAGAACTAACCACTAACAAAAGGCCTTTGAGCTAAGAGCTCACACTGACCTGGGTTCCTATGGAGTTAGCTTCACCTTGAAAGGGTAAATGACAAATATATATATACTTAATTGATTTCAGAGAGGGAGAGAGATAGAAACATCATTGATGAGAGAGAATCATTGATTGGCTGCCTCCTGCATATGCCCTGACCAGGAATCGAACTGTGACTTCCTGGCTCGTAGGTCAATGCTTTACCACTGAGCCACACGGCTTGGTGGCAAATGACAAAAATTTAAGAGGTATTTTTCTTAATGAGATTGGATGGGGTGAGGATCAAGGTATTTGTTGAGTGTCTATGGACAACATAACCATACCTTTAGCTACTCACCACCTATGTCTACTTTCTCTACATTCTTTCCTCCTCAGTTTCTTAAATGTCCAGATTGCCAGCCTGAGTCCTAAGCAACAATTCAAAGGGACATGATGGTAATCCAGGAATGTTATTGTACAAATATCTGAACCAGATGAAATTGGGCCTAGTAAAAGTTGAATAAGAAGCAGGAAAAACGAGCTTCCTTAGAAACCATTAAAAAATAATGGAAAAGGAATGTGACATGTAAAAAAAAGTGGCACATAAAACACTTTAGAATAATAATTACTTCAGGAAATAAAATAATAGACTAAATTTCCTCTGTCCTCTCAAAGGAATTACCATCTTTGTGAATGAAAAGGAGAGCAGCTTAAGAAAGAAATTAAAAGGGAAAATATGATCAGTTTTGAAATGAAAACTGCTTGAGAAGCTGAGAGGAAACAGAGTCAACATTGAAAAAAAAAACCCCACACAGACATATGAAGAGTAGGCATGAGAAGAAACCACCCAGAAGGAAGTGGAAAAATACAAGGCAATGAAAGAAATTAATGAGAAGGTCATAGATGTGGAGAACCAACACAGGGATGAATTGTGTACTGGAAGATGAAAAACTAGAATGAACTGGGGGTAAATAATGCATCAACATCTTATAAACATGCAGTTTTCCAAAACAACACAAAGCAATGAAAGAGTAATGCATGCAGATTTTTATTATTTACGTAAAGCTTAAAAACATAAGCATTTCTATCTGTATGTATAATGTGAAAGTATAAAGCAATGGATGAGCATGATAAACACCTAATTCAAGAGCGTGGTTACCATTGGGGAATGGAACGTAAAATGTATACACAGTGAGATTCAACTATGCTGATTATGTTTATTTTTTTAGGTAACCTAGTGGCTGTTCATTATTATTTACAGCTCTGTGTTTTGTGCTGGTAAGGATGTGGAAGAATAGGCCTTCTCATGCCTTATAGATGGGAGTGTGAGTTCTATTAAGTTATTTATAGAGTTTAGTGGACACGTTTTTTTAAACTTTATTTTTCAGTTATAGCTGACATACAATATTATATTAGTTTTAAGTGTACAACATAGTAATTAGTAATTTTAGTGGGCATTTTTAAAATTCATATTAAGGAATTCCCTTACTCAGGAATTTGTTTTTCTACTATGTCCTAAAACTTTGTATTATAAAATATTTAATACATGCAACAAGGTTTAAAATAATTTTTTGAAATTTTAATTGTAGTTATATTAATTTTATGTTCTTATTTGGACAGATTAACATTTTAATGACATTAAGACTTTCTATCTAGGAAAATTATATCTTTACATTCATTTACATCTTACTTTTTAATATATTTTTTGCATGTTCTTTGCTTGTGAGATATATTTCTAGATCACTTATATTCTGTATATCTACTGTATATAGGATAATTATATCTGTCCATTTCTAATTCCATAATATTCATATAAAGAAAACTATTAGGCCCAGCTGGCGTGGCTCAGTGGTTGAGTGTTGTCCTATGAACCAGGAGGTCATTGTTAGATTCCTAGTCAGGACATATGCCCATGTTGTGGGCTTGATCCCCAGTGTGAGGCATGCAGGATGAAGCTAATCAATGATTCTCTCTCATCATTGATGTTTTTCTCTCTCAATTCCTCTCTGAAATCAATAAAAACAATATACAAAAAATTATTAGTTTGTCTATAGTTTTCTTGTATTTTGATGCCTTGCCAAATTTTCCTATTAGTCTTAATCAGAATTTTATTATTTTAAAATTTAGAGATATAATATTTTCCCTTGAATTGTTGCTATAATAATTATAATTTTAGAAATGTATCTACATGATCATGCTATATTATTCCTTGAATGCCTAGATATATTTAATATGCTAATATTTTATTGAGAACATTTACTTTTATACGTAAACTAGTAGCCCGATACACGAAATTCAAGCACATTAAAAGGGAATTAAATGCCCTAATCGGTTTTGCTCAGTGGATAGAGCATCGG